GTTGCACAGGAAGTGCAACTTTAATGAAGCGTTTAAGTGGCAGCTGTTGTTGTAGTTGCTGTTGTTTGTTAGTGCGGCACGGAAGGTGTCATGCAGTTGTTGTTGCCGAATGTTTGTTGCTTTTCATGGTTCAATGAAAGGAATGCGCCTAAAGTGTGAAGATGAGTATGCTGGGAAATTGGCCAAAAATTTAAACGTGACTAATCGAAATTTCACTTTGAATATATGCAGGAAATTTCCGGTTGGCAAATATGGCTATGGCTTTTAAGTTCGAATATTTTAGATATGCCACAAATTTTCCGGGCAGATCCCAAATTCCAGATTTTCAAAGTTCATTGAATGTTAAACATGTTTATATGTTCAGAACTACTTTAAATTAAATCATTGTTAAAAACGGGTTAGAAAATATTTTTTGGTACTATCCTAAAAAAAGATTATGCAAAACTTACGTTATTTTTCTATCAAGAATGTCTACCACAAAATAGTTCCCGTAACTTCCCTATGACAACAAGATGGCCCCAAAACGTCTACGTTTCATCGAACTCTTTCCATCAATTCATTCTTGCGACAAAGTTTTTTTTGGTTTCACTTATCGGAATTGGAAGTTGCGTTTTATCAGCTGCACAGCCTCACCATTTGGCTATATAGCCACGGAACCTCAGCCTGAAAACCCTATAAACACCTATCGCAAATGTAGGTCCCAGTTAAGCAATTCGAGAAGGCTTGGGAACAGGGCGGAAACTTTATCTAAATGCTGGCGCTTATCAGGCGGACAAGGTGCTAGCGGCGGAGGTCAGGTGAAAGGAAAGGGAATGGAATTGGGAATGAGACGAAACGAACGAGAAGAGAGCCCAACATAACAATTTATGACTCACACGGCGAGAGAAGCTGTGCACTCAAAAAAAACGAAATGAATGAAATATTTAAAAATAATTGAAGAAATAGTTATAATCGAATTTTTGTAAGATAAATTAATAATTTTAGAAAATATAAAGCTGCAAACGTAAAAGATATTTTTTATATTTTTTATAAGACAATAAACAAAGTTTTAAACAACTTCAAACACTGCATTTGTTTTTCTGAGTGCAATTAAAACTTGGAGTCGAAGGGCGACCTACGGAGAGGATCGGGAAGTAAAAGGTTCGTATAAAACGCCGACAGAGAATAAAAATCCTGAACTGCATAATTTAAACGATTTCAATGACACCTTGATTAATATCAAAGACAACACAAAAGGGAACTCGAGAACTGACCACTCTACCTGTTCCCCACCCCGCCCCCTCAGCGCCCCCTCCCCTACCTGCATTTCCATGAAATTATGAACGAAACGCAACGCGCAGTGCATTTGACCAAAAGATAAAGAATAAGGAAAACATACATATAGGAGGGGAAAAACCAATCAGGCAACGTTGAAAACCAAAAATAAACAAAGGCAGGGCTCAGGTAAAGGGCCAAGGAAGGGCCGAGGGGCAAAGGGCAGGGGCTGCAACAGTTTACCTGGCAACAAATCAAACAAAGAGCGAGGCAACGAGAGAAGAGGAATGCAGAACGCTGCGCAACTTATTGCAATTAAGCGTGATTAATTCAGGATTTATACAAATTAACTAAAACCCACAGGCGATCGAGGTCGCGACTAGGTCCTCCCATTCCCGTAACCCCTCAACGATCTACCCATTGAACAACGTGTAAAAGCGGTGTGACAACATTTTTGCTCTTGCACTGGCCAAAGAGCCTTTCGGAGGGTTCCACAGTCGCAATTCCCTAAATATAAAAAACATGCCAGCCTATGGTTCCTAACTCGAAAATAACGAACATTTATGAACATATGTTAAAGATCTTCATAAACGATTTAGTTAATAACTAATTCGAGAATTAATATTCACACATTTAATGTTTTTTAATGAATTTAATGAATAGTATTTAATAAAAACATTAAGGCTTAAAAAAATAAATAGCTAGTTATATAAAACCAATTCTTAGCATACTTGTTATTTTTTTTACATTTATTTAATCTTAAGACAAAAATGGTTTAGTAATAAAGGGAAAGGTAATAATCTATGCAACCTAAGACAACAATTATGCTAGTAATTGATGAAACAATTAATTTTGTAGTAAAATAAACTAGTATAAGCTAGTATTGAACTAAATAAATCAACATTCAAGTTCATGCTAACGTAGTTCTACTGTGTGGCTGGTCTCTTCTTGTTTTATTTTCTTTTTTTGTTCATCAAAAAGGAATTTCTTGAGATTTTTCGTTGCGGCTACTTCTGCCTTTTGGACTGGTCTTGGAAACTGGAACCCCTTTCCCCTATAGGGAAAGAGGGTTTCGGATTGGGAAGAGGAAAGATAGAGGGTTACGATGAGCAGGCGACGCATGCGCCAAGATCTCTGGGATGGACACGCTCTCCGCGTTGGACTCTCTCTTATTTAAAACCTACCTTGTGCTGCTGCTTACTCGCATTTCGAGATGATTTGCGTGGAATTTTAGTTCCTTTAGAGGGGCGAAGGAGAAGGAAAGTTCGGGAGGAGAGCTCAAGACGGGTTAAAGGAGCAGAATGAATCACGGAATCGCCCAATTCGAAGGCGGGTTTTCTTTGTTCTTTTGTGATTCAGACTTGTTTCTTATCTCTTAGATTTACCAATGTTATGAAATGTCTGGAGTCTGCCAGGAAAAATGCAATACATATACATAAATATGAATGCAAATAAGTTAATCGTTTTAGCGTTTATAAATTAATTCGATATTATCTTGTATTTTGAATGTTAATATATAGCAAAAATATATACAAAATATTTTTTTTACTTAATCTTTCATGATTTATTGTACTGGCGACTGTATATTAATATTATTTTAAGTTAACTAGAGTTATAAATATTTAATTAAAATGGTTTTCCTCTTCTATTTAAATGTATTTCTTTTCATTTTAAGTGACACCACATCAAATATTTTTGCACTTTGATCAATGCAAAGACCCCCTTTTCTTATCACATCAAATTAAAATGTGTACTATTTTATTGACAACCGCAAGAGTCGGCAATAGGAGATAATTAGTAAACCATAAATTGAAACCAACGCTATATGAACTAATTGTGACTGCAGAAAAAATTAAGTAAGTGAATAATACTGCAATTTTATTATAGTTAATTTTTTAATGATAATTTTTAAATAAATTTCACGGTTGTTTTGATTTTCTTTTACTTTAAAAGTTTTTTTTTACAATTTTCAACTAATTTTCCTACAACGTTTAGTTTTTATAGATTTAAACTTAACATAACTTAACACTGCCACCTAAATTAGCTATACAACTTTTCCAAAATGTAATCTATTGAATTAACTGCATTTTTTTCGTTATGATTAGAAATTTTATGTTCTTCTATCAATCTCAGCTGTTATAACTGAATAAATACCATAAGTAAAAAGCATTTTCAATTAATATTTATATACCATAATACACAGTTGATTTGATTATTTTATAATATTTCCTGTATATATAGTATTTCCCACACTTACCGTTACTAGGTTTTTGGGGAATGTCGATGGCATCGATTCCTCTCGCCTGGAAAATGTGCGTCACAGCGCTGCAATTCGGACTGAATTGATCGATGATCGAGGAGCCTCCTGTCACGCCCCCTGCGGGATTGGGGGCGGCAAGAGCAGCCACTTGGGGGGCGGCGCCATTGTCCGCTCGAACGGTGGGTGGAAAGAGGGTGGTGAGCAGTAGGAGAAGAAGAGGACTGCTGAATATCACAAGGCGGGCGGTTGCTGTTGCTTTTCTTCTGCAATGCAGATATTCTTCTTGTTGTTGCTCTTGCATTTTGAAACTTTAAATAACTCTCTTTTCAGAAAGAGAGAGCAAAGGAGAGCTAATTTCGCCGGCTTTTGTTGTTGTTTGGCTTTGATTTGGATTCGATTCGCTTTGATTGTGTTTGTTTATTTTGCGGTAAATATTTTTGGCAAACGCAGACACCCACACAAGCAACACGCACACTAATACACCGTTTTGTTTACCGGCATTATTATTATTATTTTTGTCGTTTGCTTAGAAGCAATTAAAGTGCAACATGGTATTAAATCGGGATTATTAACTATTAACAAATAGCGGCACGGCACACGCACTGGCAGCACACACACACACTCTCACGAGCACACACGCACCGCGACGAAAGGCGAGTTGAAAGTAAAGCGCGAAATGCGAGGGAAAGCAGCACAGCGCGTGCTCGCGAGTCGGCTGTAAAATTTCGACTGAGCAGTCTCTTTGAATTTCGACTGCTGGCCGGCGATGATATGATATTCTACCTCTATCCATCGATAGTTTTGCTGAGACTATCGATGTCTGTCGCGTTAGAGCATTTTCCTGCACGGTAAACTCTCAATAGTAAACACTCCAGCATGTAAACGCAATTTGAAAATGAAAAAGTTTTCAATATAATAAAAAAATATTTATCAAAATAGTAAAAAAAAGCCCTTCAGTATACATTCAGCGAACAAATATTTACGGTAAACATTCATTGTTTTTATTGTCTATTATATAGCCGTGACGATACGATTTCTTAGTTTAAGCCTAGTATTTATGTTAGAAAACAAATTCGTTAGAAATTCGTAAAGTTCACCAGAAGTAAGTGTTTATACTGCCAATCCGCTGGACTTGTTGGCAAACAGTAAAAGAAAGAAACTTTCTAACTGCAGGCCCTCAAAGCATTTCTCAGGTACATTGACATGAAAATTTTCCCGTGTACAAAATGCTTTAAGCATGCTACTCGAATCGACGGAATCCCTTCGTCAGCTTTAAGAAAAAGCGTGTGATTTTTCGGTAATACGGTTTTTAAATTCGCGATGGTAAGGATAAAATTACTTCTTTAACCGATAACTTCTTACTTTTCAGGCTGTGATACCGGTTTACGCCGTTAATTACTCGAGTTCGACTTCTCTGCCCCGATTGCAAAAAAAAATCATTCAAATTCATACTTGACAGACTTTTATTTTTTTTAATAATCTCTTAAATCCAAATACCCAGTAAAACTGTTACAAGTCAAATTCAATAAAGAGCTGTAGAAATCTTGAAAACTTTAGTTTCAAGAAGGCAAGACCAATACTGGAAAAAAATTTCAAAAATAGTGTAGGCACCTTATTATACCGCAGAGATGGGCTATCGTCTTTCAATCGGACCATGCCCACTATCGATTCCATAGGCCAGCATTGCCACCACTAGCTGGCCGCTGTACCCATCTCTAAACCAGCTGTTTTGGCGGCAACGAGTTTTGGCCCCAATGAAATAATGTTTATTTAAATAGAACGCAGTTAGGACATCGGCGCAAGAATGACTCAAGAAAGCGCAGTGCACGAGGCGCTAAAAAGGCACTTCGGCCATTCAAAATTCAAATCAGAGCTACAGGAAAAGGCAGTGAAGTGCGCTATCAAAAGTAAATATGGGCCAAATTCTTACCCAATCTCGTTGACTAATCCTCTCGTAATTCTCTTACAGAAAAACAGGATGTCTATGTGTCGATGCCCACGGGCTCGGGTAAATCCCTGTGCTTCCAGTTGCCAGGCTTGATGTCCGAGAATCAAATAACAATTGTTTTTTCACCGCTTTTGGCTTTGATTAAGGATCAAATAGATCATTTGACCAAACTAAAGGTCCAGGCGGATTCTTTGAACTCCAAGATGAGCACCAAGGAAAGGGATCGTGTTATAATGGATTTGCGGGCCGTCAAAACGAACCTAAGGTTTCTCTATATCACCCCAGAACAGGCTGCTACCAAGTTTTTCCAGGAGCTGCTGCAATCCCTTTATAAACACAAAAAATTGGCTTATTTTGCGGTAGACGAGGCCCATTGTGTCAGCCAATGGGGACATGACTTTAGGCCTGATTACCTGAAACTGGGGGAGCTGCGCTCCAAATACCCAGACATCACCTGGTTGGCATTGACGGCCACTGCTTCCAGAGAAGTCAAGGAGGACATATACAAGCAGTTACGCCTCCACCAGCCTGTGGCTCAGTTCACCACTCCCAGCTTCAGGAAAAACCTCTTCTACGACATTGTCTTTAAGAACTCCATTGAAGATGACTTCCGGCACTTGGCAGACTTTGCCCGACATTGTTTGGGCGATCCCAAGGAGTTCAAGGAGCAACCTAAACCCCAAAGGGGTTGTGGAATTGTATATTGTCGAACTCGGGAGCAGGTGGAACGTATGGCCATAGGAGTTACCAAGCAGGGAATCGGAGCCGTGGCTTACCATGCCGGATTGAAGACAGCGGAACGCACCGAGGTCCAAGAAGCCTGGATGCGGGGTGATCAACCCATTATATGCGCCACCAATAGCTTCGGCATGGGTGTGGATAAACCGAGTGTGCGCTTCGTTATCCACTGGGATGTGCCGCAAAACGTGGCTGCATATTATCAGGAATCTGGTCGTGCCGGTCGCGATGGCTTGCAGTCATATTGTAGATTATATTACGGACGAGAAGATGTCCGAAGTATTCGGTTTTTGCTACAGAACGATGCCCATCGAGCGAGGGGTCGTGGCGATAAGGAATTACTGACGGAGAGGGCTATAAAACAGTTCGAAAAGATAACTGAATTCTGCGAGCGAACAAGTTGCAGGCACAAACTTTTTTCTGATTTTTTTGGAGATCCTGCTCCGGATTGTAATGGTCAATGTGATGTCTGCAAGCGTCCTAAGAAAGCGGAGAAAGCACTTGAGATGTTCCATAGATTGTGTATGGATGATACGTTCAAGTCGCACATTTCGCTGCAGGATTGTTCAGATTTATATGAGGGTAAACTTTAGAAATCCTATTTTTTAATCCATTTTCTCTCCTAAAGTCAACGTGTATTTCCTTACCTACTTTTAGGTGGCCGCCCCGGAATTAAGCGGGCTGCACAGGAGTACGCAGAAGGTGAATCCGGTTCAGACGACGATTCCGGCCAGAGCCACTCCTCGATGACCAAAAAAGCCAAAAGGGAATCGGAAGACTTTATAAAGCAGCAGTTCAAGCTACGAAAACAAATCAGCGCAGCTCGGCAGCTGGAACAGGAAACTGCCACCCAAATCTCTCGCATTCGACAAGCAGAGGCTACTGAAAAGAAAATCGCCGGACTTCAGTCAACACATAGGGAGAAATATCTCACAGCCATCATTGATGCACTGAAAGCCAATGTGGAAAAGTGCAAAGATGACGAAGATCAGCAACCAAGAAGTGCACTAAAATACAATGACTATGAAGCCATTGCAGTGGATATGGAGTACGAGGTTTTCAGACAGCATAAAGTGGCCAATATGTACCGACATGCCTTAGTTAAACAGGTTTATATATAAAATCACCTAAAAACATTGAACAAATTTATTATAATTGTATATCTTTATAGATTTCCACCATTAAACAACTCTCCGGGAAGACGCAATTGATGCCTCTTTTGCTGGATTATGTTCCCAAACCGGAAACGAGTAATAAAGGTGTCTGGACTGGTGGAAGTGTGGCCTATTTTGAGCGAAAACTAAAAGAACTGGAAGAACAGAGACCCCAAAGTCTCAAGGAGGTGCCAAAAGCCTTAAAAGAACGAAAGGGATTCAAACAGGAGAATAGCAAACAAACATCGATTTCCTCCTTTTTTAAAAAAGAGATTAAAGAGGAACCATCCGATTCGTCCAATGAAGAAGGTCCTATTATTAAAAAAGAGCAAGAAGAAATTCAGAATGATATAAGAGAAAATGATACTGAAGAAAGTTCTTCCAGTCATGTTAAAGACGAACCCATGGACCAAGAAAGTACTGATCCTGAAATTGAGCTCGATCTTCAGCCAGATAGCATAATTGGCGAAAGAAAATTCAAATTGATGTCAAACGGCGATGGCAGTTACGACACCCATCGTAGGAAAAGAGTTTCTCACCAAAACCAACCCAAAGAGATGGAGTCAAAAAAGACAAAGTCCAGCATGGCGCACCTTTTTGGTTCCTTTAAAAGCGAGTCTGAAGATGAGTCTGATCCACCATCACTTGGTTTCAAAACTGCTCGGCAAATGCTCGATGAAAGGAAAGAAAAATTAGGCAGCACAACTGAGGTAATTGGCCTAAAGGAAGATGAGGAGAAGGATAAGTCAGAAAATATTGGCTTTATGTCAGCCAGAGAAATGTTAGAGAGAAATAAACTTAAGGAAGAGGAGAAAAAGGAAAAGTTAAGTTACAAACCTGAAACACTAGGTTTCATTTCAGCCAGAGAAATGTTGGAAAAAAACAAACTCAAAGAAAAGAGTTTGGACAAAAGAGATGTTAAGGAAAATAAGTTAGACAGTAAGGAACTAAAGGACGAAGATATAATGGAATCTGCGAGAAAGGAAGACCGTGACAGAAAATCTCAAAAAGAAATGCCAAGAGAGGCCAAATCTGACAAGGACAAACTAAAGGATTCGAAAAAAGAATTGGAGAGGCATCTTAAAGATATATCATCCCGAAGAAAAGACCTAAAAGAAGCTGATTTGAAAAGAGAAAAAGAGCCATCGTCTAAGGACTCCTCATCTCAGAAGAATGAATTGAAAGAATCTGACTCAAAGAGAAGTTCGCAAAAGGACGCCAAGCCAGAAAAGAACCAGCAAAAAAACGATGTAAGCAAAAATGTAGTGCAGTGGCTAAATCCCTACTACAAACGAAAAATAGCCACCAAGGAACTTTTTAAAGCTCTGGCCAAATTGCTTACTCAACGTATTTGTGATGGAAGTTTGGGTATAATATAAACCCTTTCTATCAAATATCTTAAAAGTTAATCACAAAATGCTTTATTTCCAGGTGACGGCGATGCTGGAAAGTGCTACATCAAGGAAACTTTCCATGGTCTGCAGATGATCAACAACGATCAGGACATTGAGAAATATTTCATCAAGTCCAAGTGACTTCAACGAGTTCTATCCACCAGCAGCATAATTTCATCACAACGAATTGTTTCGCCTTGTTAACAGATAATTAATTTTTTTTTCGTTAATTTTTCGATTTGTATATAATAAGCACCTAAATTATCGATAACACATACAAAATATATATTTTTCATTTCATCTGTTTCAGTAGTAATCAGAAAGTTAACTTTTTGTTTGTGAAAATTTTCGCTTGTACAAAATTTATTTGTTGGATCTTACATATTAATTGGATTAGATAAAACGTGCATGATGCTCGATGTATTAAGCTTATAAAAAAACAAAACAGGGCAGCCGATGCGTAAGAACTTTAAACCTTCTCGGACGTCGTTTTTGTACATTTTCGATTCGATGATGGCAATTCATATGTTTTTTCGTGGGATTATAATTAGCTGGGAGACGGGGATGTGAACGGGGTGCTTACGTCTAAGTTGGAGCTATAAATATTACAGTCCCACGGCTAGGTGAGAATCGAGTGGATTCCTCTTTCCCGCCAAACTTCTCGTGATCGCCCATGTCATTCAAGATCGCCGTGAACGCCGAAACGGATAGTAATGAGAATGTCCAGCAAGAAGACCAGCGAGGTGACCAAGGAAATCGAGGCGGAAGCCATCACGAGATCCAAACGATGCATATTCGGGTGCCAGTAGTTGCGATCCTTGGTCGTGGACCAATCCCGGAAGAGCAGAGCGGTCACGGCCACAAACAGGACGAAGCCCACCAGGGACCACAATGTAGCTGTTCGCCAAGGAGTCCTATGGGTGGAGTAAGCATTCTGTAACTAACATAATTCATTTAACCCTTGTTGCATACTCACAAATCACCGAATAGTGCCATCATCAGGTAGATCGCCGTGTAAATAGTCAGGGCACCAAAGGTCACATAACAAAGGGCAATAACTCGGGGCGTTATGAACACACGCAGATGAGAATTGGTGGCCGGTTCGTCGATCAGGCCTAGGCAGCATATTAGCAAGCACTGTTGAAAAAAAACATATTTACTTAAAAATCGCAAGTATAAAGTTAAGTAAACTTTTCAAAATATACGATATCAACAATTTCCTGCGAGTTTGAGCACCATTTTATATTTATGCTTTGTTTCACAAGGGAAATTAAATTTTGTTATTGCAAAATTTTTAAAATATACATTTTTTACCAAAATTAATATATAGTTTTTTTTTTTTTTTTTTTTTTTTTTTTTTTTTTTTTTTTTTTTTTTTTTTTTTTTTTTTTTTTTTTTTTTTTTTTTTTTTTTTTTTTTTTTTTTTTTTTTTTTTTTTTTTTTTTTTTTTTTTTTTTTTTTTTTTTTTTTTTTTTTTTTTTTTTTTTTTATTTTTTTTTTTTTTTTTTTTTTTTTTTTTTTTAATTTTTTTTTTTTTTTTTTTTTTTTTTGGGGGGGGGGGGGGGGGGGTGGTTTTTTTTTTTTTTTTTTTTTTTTTTTTATTTTTTTTTTTTTTTTTTTTTTTTGGTATGTTGGTTTTTTTTTTTTTTTTTTTTTTTTTTTTTTATTTTTTAATTAATTATTTTTTTTTTTTTTTTTTTTTTTTTTTTTTTTTTTTTTTTTTTTTTTTAATTTTTTTTTTTTTTGTTTTTGGGAATTTTTTTTTTTTTTTTTTTTTTTTTTTTTTTTTTTTTATTTTTTTTTTTTTTTTTTTTTTTTTTTTTTTTTTTTTTTTTTTTTTTTTTTTTTTTTTTTTTTTTTTTTTTTTTTTTTTTTTTTTTTTTTTTTTTTTTTTTTTTTTTTTTTTTTTTTTTTTTTTTTTATTTTTTTTATTTTTTTTTTTTTTTTTTTTTTTTTTTTTTTATTTGGGTTTTTTTTTTTTTTTAAGGGGGGGGGGGGGGTTTTTTTATTAATAATTAATTATTTATTTTTTTTTTTTAATATTTTTTTTTATGTGGGGTTTTTACCCCCCCCGCCCAGGTTTTCCCCTTCTTTTTTTTTATATTTTCGGTATTATTTAGTATGTTGTGTGATATTATAAGCCTTTAATATTTATCGTAAGTTAGCTATTATTTATTTATGTTTTCAAAAACATTTTTCTTTTTACAAGATAACATATATTTTTAAAAACTTTTATTGAGCTTATAAACGCCAGGTGTGATTTATTTATTAAATATTTCATAAAACCAGGAGCGACTTATTCTGATAAGCTCTCATAACTTCACACCTGTGTTAGGAAACTGGCGGTATCTCACTAGGCAATGTTCAATGTTGCTTGGTAAATTTAAACACAACTTGTTTTCGTGGTGCTTCACGTAGCCAATAGATTTGTTTGTGTTTCTTTCAGTCATTTCTTTAACTACATATTACAAATCAAAACAAGTTTTAATTATTTGGAACCATACATAATAATCCGAGCACTTTAAAGGAGTTTTGTGCAAAAACCGCCAGCAAATGTCCAAATAACTCACCAGTTCCACAATTTTGATGCATATCAGCGTGTAGGTGGCCTTTTTGTTGCCTTGGGTTGTGGCAAAGGAATTATCATCGGCGGGCGACATTTCGACGCGTGAGATTTCTGCAACGAGCAATTAAATAATTAATTAATTAAATAACACTTACAAACTAATTGAAAATTTGTCCACTTTTTCATTTGCTCGGGACGAAGATACAAAAAGATTCGATGTATGTATATGTACCTATTGATCGCAAGTAACTCATTTTTCTGAGCGTCTGGTGTATAAGTTCTCGACCTAATGAGGAAACTGAATCTTTATTTTTGGCTTTTTTGTGCTCAAAAGTCGGGTTTAGTGACCATACTTGGCCTCCGTGTCTGGGTTATCGGATATTTGTTATTGGATGCTCAGTGGAGCGTGCAAACAAACATAACTAAACAATCTACGTTCTGATGTGGATTTGTGTCAATTGATGGCCGAAGGTCTCCCACATGAAATACATCCAGTTGCAGACCAAATCGATTAAGGGCACCTTCTGCGATGATCTCATCTAATTGGGTGTGTGGGACTTTTGGGTGGGGCTTACACATACATATGTCGGTATATTCGCCGTACCGAGATGCATACTAAATTGAGTCTGGGAATGCGAGCAGCCTACGTGAGTTTGCCACAAAATGTCTTATGCATATTTAATTCCAACTATAATCGATCTCATTTCATCTATAATTCCATTAATATAAACCAATAATTAAAGACCAACAAAGACTGTCGAACGCCGTTCAATTGTCACCGCTTTGCCATCCTATTTTGACTTAGCACCCAAGCACTTTGCAAGAGTTAAATAACTTGTATTACAGATAGAAAATCTTTACCGAATTTGTATACGTGATGCTTCCAAAATACTTTAATACTCTTGCAACGCAGTGAATGAGCGATTTTTGGCCGTAAAAAATGTATATATTCTTGATCAGCACCATCAGCATCGGTAGACTAATTCTTATAGCACAAACAATCGGAAAAATAAATAAAACAAAGTTATAAAGTTCATTGTTTTTAGTGTTTTTAACAATTTCAAAATTATGGATTAAAATTTTATTAAGGTCGGACGACTTTATTAAAAATCTGCGATATTTACGATCGCAAAATGTATCGGCAAATCATTTTGCATAAGAACGAGATCCTTTTAACGATTTTTGATATTGTCCTGATAAACGTGTGCACAAAAGATTTTGATTTACAAAATTTATTGTACAGTTAATTAGCGGCACTTCTTAGGCTTAAAAATATGTGCTGTAAGTGTTAGGCCCGAACCTTTTTTTGCAGCTGCACTGTAATAAAATAACACTAAATTTAAAACGTCGCAGTGGTTTCTGAGTTTTTCTGATTTTTTTTTCTGTGTGAAATGCAGAGAACTAGATCTCTGAACACTTCATAACCAACAATGGAATCGCTCCCCTCATTGATTGAAGCTAATTGCATCACACAAAGAACAAAAAAAGCTCAAATTAGCCAAGGCACGCACAATAAAAGAGGGGAGGCGGGAAATGGGGAGGGGATTGTGCTAGTTAACCCCGAGATGTGTAACCCCAAAAACCACAATTAAAATGCTAGTGGAAAACCAAAAAAAAAATAAGTCAAACTCGAAATGAAACTGGAAACTCAACTCAAACCCTAAAAAAGGGTCACGCATAACTTTCACTGCGGAAAACGAGGGGGAAAGGTATTGGGAGGGGGAATAGTATTGGGAGGGAGAAAGGTATGAGCTACAAAGGGAATTAAAGAGAGGGAAATGTAAGACACTCCCCGTCGTTAAAGCGAGTGCATGGAGTTAATAAACATTTTAGTGTCTAGGTTCTGGATGCAGAAGTGTATAACAAATAGATAACGGAAACTACCACTAATTGAATTACGGTGGAACGAATCTGAATTGAATTTTTAATAAAAAATATGATAAATGCTCACTAATTTTTTATTTCCCAATGGGATCTTATATTATTTAAAAATATTTAAATTACTTAATTGTTATTATATCTACATTAAAGAAAATATAAGGAATGTTTCAAAACTTAATACTATTAACTAACTTTAAATACATACTTAGAATTTCTATAGTTAAATAGTAGGTATACCATACAAATTGCTAAAAAAAAAACTGAACATCCTGCCTATAAAATCTCCTCACTCATTTTCGGGTTTATGGCTCTCCATGATTGGAATTCCAGCGGTTAACTGTTCGCGTGTTATTGCTAACGAGTGCTTCACGTTTGGCCCAAACTCGAACACCCCACAACACCCCCCTGAACCAAAAAAAACAAGTTTTCTTCGCCTGCGTTTAGAAGAAAGCCCAAAAAGCAGCAACGAAACAAAACAAACGCAACAAGCCACGAAACACAAAAAAAGGTAAACAAATCGAATTGGCCAAGAAACTTGTTTTGTAAAATAAGAGAACTTGGCTTAAAGAGATACGCTGTGCGGCTAAGAGAGGACTACTGCCTGCCACACCTGCGTATTGCGTTCTGCCCTCGGAGAGTATTTTTTCTCTCCAAAGGTGGGCATAGCGTTGCGGCCAGCACTGTGAATTAACCTCGTTTCGCTTTCAGGCTCAAAAGGGACTTTTGTTTTATTTGCCTTCCCGCAAGCAGCCCTATAACTGGTCTGAGTTTTGGGTCAATGACTTGTTGTTGTTCTCGGTTCTCCGTTTTGTTTTGGTTCTTGGATTCTGATTCTATCTGAAGAATTTGCCCAAGCAATCCCCAACATGGCTTGCCTAATTAAGTCTCATTTGCAATTTCCTGAAAAGCCCAGATCCAAAGAGAACTATTATCGGTATCTCGCATCTTTCGATCGGAGCCAACTTGGGCAATTGAAAAATGCAACAAAACTTGTTTTTAGCCGCTGCCGCCCCCTTTTGCGCCCCTCGGGCGCTCTGCCTCCCCCTCACACTTGCATTGATATGCACAACTGCAAACTGGTTGCAAGAGAGAGAGAGACGGCCGATGGGGGAGTGAGAGGGCCGAACCCACCTCAAATGCATACACATATGTATAAGGCGCCTACTGTACTTGGTCATCGCCTTAGTTTTCTCTCTCGGCGAAGGGCAGTTTGCGATTTCCCAGCTGCATTTTCCAAAAACGGGTATTACTAAGTTAAAGGGTATATCTCTGTTACTTAAAAAAAATGTATTTGTGGTAATTCAAAACAAATATAATTGAAAAAAATTTGTATTATCCAAATCTAAATTACCTACTAGCTATTATTTCAATAATAGGTAAAAGTAACAAAGTTTAAAAATAAAAACCATCCAAATTGGAATTACTGCATGATCCTATCAGTTGGTGGTTAAAAAATGCATGTTTTAATTAATTTGCTCAAATTGTATCCAAAACGTTGAACTGTCAGTAACTACGTAGTGTAAATTATTTAATATATAATTTTATAGGGTATATTAAAGTCTCATCACTGAACTGGCTGCATTTATTTTGCAATTGTTTTCCATATTCTTGCCAATAGTTGCTACTATGTTTGCTTTTACCCCATTCAGTGCCAATCCGGTAGCAACTTCTTACTTGGGCTTTGTTTTAGCCCTAAACATGCAACCTTCTGCGATATGGGCGGGATGGGTAGGGAATTGTGGGGGTGGTTGCTGTTGGGAGAGTTTTCTAGGCGGCTCCCTTAGGGGTTGCTCACAAATTCAATGCCAAAACAATTGGCCAAGGGTCGTCGGGATTTGCCATAGGTGTACTGGGGTTACTGGCACTGTGTTTTTTATTACTGTTTCGTGACGGTGCTGTCACTGAAGGTCAGTGTCTGAAAAGGATATTGGTATTGGATTGAAAGGTTTCAAATTGGAAACCTCTGCGCGTGAAACCTGTAATTGAGTGTTAATTCAAGCAGAAAGCTTTTTGGTCTAAATTATTTTTAAGGAATTTATAACATGTTAAATAAAGCATAGATTTTAATGGTATTCAAATCATTTAAACAGAATCTATCATGTGATTTGGTAGGCACAGAACTTTTTTACAATTGCCTTAAAATTTGTATTTGTAAATTTGCAATTATATTGCTTTGAAGCTAATTTAAGTAAGTAATTTTTCGTTGCATAAACCCAAGTATTTGTCACCTAATTAGAGATGCATCAAAGGGGAGGGGCCGCATTGACGGTGAGAAAATTGTCAGTGAGTCACATTAAACAAACTAATTTGTGTTAGCCAGTGTTGTTGTTGTTGTGTGTGTATGTAGTTTGTGCAAAATTAGCATGTCTAACAATAACAACAAAGTGCTGCGATCGTCTTGCTGGTGTACTGTGTTTATTGTACAATTAGCTCTGGGTGGGGCCCTCCGATCTCACAGACTCCAATATAACGAGAGATCTTTGGGGGAGAATCGAAACTTCGACGGAAGCTGAATAAACTTCAATTTGTTTGTATGTTTAGTGCGTTTTCAACATATCTAAAATTTTGTTACTGCCGAGCAAACGACAAACTGGTTATAAGTTTTACTTTGAATTTTGTTTTTGGGTTACTGTATTACATTTTTCAATTTTTCGTTGATATTGCAGAGAGGTGCAGAACACAAGTGCAGCCAAATGTTTTGGGTTAGCTTTTTAGTTATATCTTACACTAATTGCACAAATATGTGATTGAATTTTTTCACGCGCGCTAGATAAGTTTTTGGATTCAGCTTTAACTGCGACTTGGGAAATTGAGTTTTCGAAACGCTCCGAAACCGACGACACGCCAACGACAACTGTTAAGCCCGCCAACTGAGCTAGATAGCCACAGCCCCAAGAAGAAGAGAACCAACTGGCTAAGAGAAAGTCAGTGGTGTAAAGAGTACTTCGAAGAGAACGAATGACACGCTTAAAACGTGTTCGAGCCAAGTCAAATGTTTTTGAATGCTTGACAAATATTGAATACTTTATGGTGACGTACAAATTAACACCTGTGTGTCATGCAAAAAAAAATAATTTCGGACATCGCATAAACATAAAATGCTCTTTTGAGCATTTTCTTAAAAATGAATGATGGAGAACTTATACTCGGCTTAGTAGGAAGCGACTGTTCTATGAAAAATCCCTGTAATAGTGGAGACATAAACCAAATCAAGAAAATTTTACAAAGAAGGGAATTTTATATAAAAATGGGAAAAAATAAAAGATTTAAATGAGGTAACTGCTTCTGATTCGGAAAGTACTAATCAAATCTAACTAAACCAATTTGGGTTCTCTAAAAATGCTTCACAGTTTAATTGTTTTTTTTATGGTGTGCCTGTAATAATTCAATCATTGGCTTTACTGTATTCCAAAAATACTTAATACAACATTTTTTCAAGTAATACTTCACCCAAAATAACACACTATTATCAGTTTTGTTTTAAACTTTTGCTTTTTTTAAGTTCAATTCTTTTTATTTGAATATTATTTTTTTTAACAAAAATATTCACAGATATAGAGATAAAATAAAAACGTAGGCAGTAGGGCAGTAGGCAAACACTTGAATAAATACAATTAAAACTAAACTGTACACAAGTTCAGTGGTAAATAAGGGAAATTATGTACATGTAAAATGGTTAGAATAGTGAAAAACCAAACTTAAACACAGTCTTTCCGTTTACAGATCTCTAAAAACAATTGCTGCTACTTATCAGGTAAAACTAACAATAACTAGAAGAAAGAGCGTTAACTAAGTAATTACAACAAAACATGACAATTTTATATACATCTATATCTATATTACATCCAGTCAGCATAAATTTGTAAAATTATCTTGATTGGGTTTGCTCTTCCTTTTATTTTTCACAGGACTAGGCTGCTGTTGCTGGGTCATCAGGGAAATCGGATAAATATAGATATGTCTTGGAGTCCTAAGCATTATTTTTACATTAATTTCACTTAATGGTTCAGTTCTTAGTTATTCTAGTTGTATTTGATACAAACTGCCTGAGGGTAGGCAGTGTTTGGGGATCGTTTTTACATTTCGCAGACGATCAGAAAACCCGATCGCTGAGCTTCAAACTGAGCGGAGTTTTGGGAGCCAGCAGGAACTCGAATTCCGTTTCCAGCGGCTTCACGAAGCTCACTTCGAAGGCCAGGACCATCTGGAACAGTGAGGGGTTAACTCAGTAATAGTTCCAAATCTTATCCGAGGATGTAGCCCATACTCACCTTAGCTAGCAGCAGCACCACCTCCATTTCAACGAACCGCTTTCCCGGACACGATCTTCGACCCACTCCGAAGGGCACCACAATACTGGCACTATCCACATTCACCGTGAAATTCTCCGTGGCAGGATCAATCCAACGTTCCGGAGTAAATTGCTTGGCTTCCTGGAAGTTGCTGTCCTTGTGACAAGCAATCATATTCTGGCAGAGCACTACGGTCTGTAGATCAGAAAATAAATAAGTATGATATTAAGTTTTAAGTTTTAGACTCCCCAGCAATAAGGGTTTCACTCTTCATAGCTAAGATCAAAAACGAAAAAATTATTATTAATTATTAAATTTTATTTCGAAATTATTAAGTTAATAAATAAGTTAAAATTATACTAACAAATTATAGCACGCGTTTTTTTAAAATTCAAATTTACTTCTTTTTTAAAAATTAAAAAGCAGGAAGTACATTTTATTTGTAGATTTGTGTCTATTTAAGCAGCTCTATTAAACCTCTAACTCACCCCTGCATTCAGCGAGTAACCCGAGAGCTCCATATCCTCCTCCAGAATCCTGGCGAGGCAAAAAGCCGTGGGCCTCAGTCTGTATGACTCCTGTATGCAGGCCTTAGTGTATGTGGCGTTCGTTAGAGCATCCTGCAGGATATTCGTGTCCCGATACTCGCAGAACTCACTCAGGATCCGAGGCATGGCCCCTGGATCCCCTGTAACGGAGCTCAGCACGAACAGCAAGGTGTTGGCTAACTAAAAAGTCAAAATTATTTGAGGTAAAATCTTTTGAAAATGCAAGCAGACACCCACCGTTTCTATGCCCGCAGCTATAAAGTCGATAATAGCCGACTTCTTGTCTCTAATATCCAGATCCTTGAGCTCCAGAATATTGAGAAAGATACTACGCAATCCAGAAGCATCGTCGTCCTCGCAGGCAGCCGATTTCTTGAGCTCCTCCAGCTCGTGATCGATGATCTCGGAGATCACACTGGGTGAGAGCGATTTAAGTTAGATGGGAATAGAATGGGAGCCCCAGATAGGTGTGTACCTACTCATAGATAAGGTCCTCGGCCCGGGCGAACTCGCGGTAGGTTTTGGTGGGAAAGTATTTCCACAGACCCAGGCCGTAGTACGAGTCCCTTTGGGAGATGAAGAGCTGTTTGACAGCGGCTGCCAGTTGGCTGATCTTCTGCGGCTGTTGGGTGTCCACGGCTAGAAAACCCATCCTCCGGCCCAGCATCAAGGTGCACACTGCCTCCAGACCCATCAGGTTGGCCAGCTCCTCGAAATTGGGAACCACCTGGGTCTCCGGATTCCGCCTGGATCTCAGAAGTTCGATGAAGTCGTCGCAAACCGCATTCAAGGCGGGCAGGAAGTTCTGCAAGACCCTGGGTGAAGTGATGCTGGAGGTCAGCGAGGATCGCAGGCGCTGCCACATCGGTCCCTGTTCGTTCACGATTCCCACACTCGCGTAGCGATCCGGTCGGGACTGGCGGTACATCACGATGATCTCGGTGGGCGGCCGGAACGGATACTTGCTGGGGTACTTCAGCACCTTCTCCAGATCCTCGCGGTTGTACAGGTGGACAATGGGAACATTGGAGGGCATCACCTCCAGTACTATGTCGCCGTATTGCCTGTTGAGATCTTGGGATCAAAGCAGGAACAAAGTTAGGCAAGTTAGTGTTTCATATTTAGAAATTAACTTTATTTAAAATGGTATCGGGAAAAATGGAAGTCATTGGTTTATTAGGCTACAACTTTGCCAAACACTTTGTTGTAGACTGCAATGAAAACCTTTTTTTGGTTCTTCAAAATAACTGGGGCAGAAATAGTTTTCGTTCTAGGTCGCGTAACTAACAGTCCTTTTCTTAAATTTTAACGAAATTCCATTAAGATCGAAAACTAATAGAACATTAGCGTTAAACAAAATTAAGCTTCAAGTGTTAAAACATAACTTAATGTATTGATTGTAATGAAATTATGTTTTACGACTAATATTTGAAAGAATTTCTTAAAATTTAACATTTATACACACTAATGTTTAACTTATTCCTAACGCTGATGACTACGTTTTATGTGTGCGTTACGCCTTTTTTATTAGGGTGATTATATAATCAAAAATTTATACTGTTTATGTAATATACAATGTATTGACCGTAAAATCCTTTAAATCTTAGTCTTATTATTATAAAACTGTTCCCCGAATATTTCAAATATTTAGCGTTAATACCCCATAATTTCAACAAACACTGTCTTACATAAGTACAAATAGGGCTCCCTAGATTATGTCTTACCCGCATATACCTCGTGCAGCTTGGTCATCTTGTAGCGGCGGAAGAAGAGCAGGAATATCCACTTGGTGCCCAGGAAGGGGATCCTCTGCGGTCCGGGGATGTCCCAGATGCCACGCCTCCGCTTCCGTGGCGCCTCCGGTTCGATGGGGGCGGCATGGTAGCAGTCCTCCAGGGGCGTGTTCTTCAGGAGCGGCCGCAAATAGATCTCGGCCAGTTTCTGCCGGTGGAGAGCGCAGTAGCAGCCGAGAACAAGTGCCAGGGCCAGCAACAAAATCACGGCCATTACCATGAGGCGCTGCAATTGGAATTCTGTGTCTTATTGACTTAATCCACTTCAGAAGCACTTATGCTAATTCTCCTAAGCGGCTATAGGCCTGTAATTGAAGTGTGGCCTTTCGTTTCGACTTGATGGCAACCGGTCGACTAATTTGTATTTGGCTTTATATAGCTTTTTTTCCACCCCAGACACGGGTTGATCATCGATTTTGCATTATTATTGGCAACGGGCGATATCACTTTGTTCTAGGTTCTTGGTTTTCTGGTTTTTGGCTATTCTGCAAGGCAAATGTCTGGCAAAAAAGCAACACGCTTTATGGTTTTTCACGTCAGATAAGATAATAACGACCAAGCGTGATAAAGTTCAAGGTTAATAGCCGAAAAATTTGTGTAACGATTGTGTTGCGAATTTCGCAAGATTGCAAAAGTATATTGATGGCGATATTAATTGGGGGATATTTTAGATTAGCTTATAACGCAGACACAACACAACACCAAAACTGGGAAACAACAACGTATTCTTTTATCTCAGAGATTCTTTGAAAATTATTCTTTAAACAATTTTTTAAAAGGGATAATATATTAAGTTTAATTAATATTAATTTCAGCTAATAAATTGCTTATAAATCTTTAAATAGTTTTTCCTAAAATAAGTAATCTGACCTATTTTGAGAACATATTCTTAACGAAGCGACAAAAGATCTTGGCCTACCCTAACTCACACTATTTTAAACCTATTTATATAAGAATTAGAGACCCAGAAAATCAAAGCGAAGCGGAATACGGGAAAAAGAAAATAGAATACTTTCTTGTTGGATTTCTTTCCTTAAACAAAAGCGATGGCCATTCAGGTGAAATTGTCGACCCTTTCTTATTAGATTATTCCCGTCGAAACCTTTTTCTATTTTCCTATTGCCAACCGGATATAAAAACTATATAAATAAGTTGAAACCGATTTAAATCTCAGGGGGTTACCTGCTCGAGTGATTAATGAATAGCCCAGTCAAATACAA